TTTACCTAAGAAAAATGAAATCGGCTATCCATATAAAAACTTGTTCATGAATATTGATAGCAGACTGTTTGCGCTTGCCACAACCTGGATAAAGCACAAATGCCCACAGCAGGTGAATAGATAAATAAGCAGTGGTATATTCATACAGGGAAATGCAACTAAACAATGACATGACATTTACTGATACATGCTGTAACATGGATGGATCTGAAAATAATTATGCTGAATGAAGCAAGTCATGCAGGGACTTTCCTAGCAGTCCAGTGGCTAAGAATCCACCCTCCCCTGCAGGGGACCTGAGTTCAATCTCCGGTCCGGGAGCTGAGATCCCACATGCCGCAGGGCAGCTAAGCCTGAGGGCCTCAACTAGGGAAGCCCTTGAGCCACAGGGAGACCCAGCACAGTCAAAATTTTTTGAAAAAAGAAGTCACGCAGAAGATGCATGATTCCATTTTTATGAGATTATAGATGATGCAGACAAATCCATAACTTCAGAACTCAGATCAGCAGTTGTGTACAGATTGGGATGAGGGTTCCAGAGAGGGATGGGGTGGAGGGATGACAGAGTGGCACAAGTAAGCTTCTTTATCCTCATCTCAATTTCAGTCCTAAACTCCCAGGCTTATATATAGGTCAAAACTTATGAAACAGAATATATTTTAAAAACATGCATTCTATCTTATATCATGCATACCTCCCTGAAAGTTTTTAAAATAGCATTTTTGTTGTTGTTCTTGTTTAGAGGCTAAGTTGTGTCCGATTCTTTGCGACCCCATGAACTGTAGCCCGCCAGGCTCCTCTGTCCATGGGATTTTGCAGGCAAAAATACAGGAATTGGTTGCCATTTCCTTCTCCAGGGGACCTTCCCGACCTGCATTGGCAGGCGGATTCTTTACCACTGAGCCACCTGGGAAGCTGATAATACCATTTGACACATGGTGAATANTGGAGGTTTTTGAGCAGAAGAGTGACTATATCTTCTGTTTACTTGAAACGGTCCCGTCTGGAAGTCAGGTTGCTGTGTGGGGAGGATCTTAGAGGACCGGAAGAAGCAAATTGGGGTTCTGCTGTGGCGGATGCTGTTCTCATCCAGGTGAAAGGTGATGCTGGCAGGGAAAAGGCTGAAACCTCTTGAAGGGCAGCCCTGGGGACTTCCCCGGTGGTCCAGCGGTTGAGATTCAGCCTTCCAGTTCAGGGGGCTCCGGTTCGATTCCTGATTGGGGAACTAAGATCCCACATGCAGTGCAGCCAATTTTTTAAAAAAATTTTTTAAAGGAGAGGGGCAGCCCTGAGATAGTTTCTCCAAGTCGGCTGAGTTGATCTGAGCAAAGCATCTGGATGATTCTGGACTGGACCAGAGTTTCTATGTCAGTTACGTTCATTGTGACTGGTGATCCCTTTTAAAGTTGCTTTTGGAACACTCTGTCATGACCTATATGGGAAAAGAATCTTACAAAAGTGAATATATGTGTATGTATAAGTGATTCATTTTGCTCTACACCTGAAACTAACATAACATTGTAAATCAGCTATACTCCAATAAAAAAATTTTAAGTTGCTTTTGGCAGACAGAAAAGTTACCCCTAGGAAGTTTCCAAGAATAAATCATTTTCTAGGAACTATAAATAGAGGTGCCATGGCAGAAGATATACTTGGCAGCCTGTTGTGACACATTGCTATCAAAGCGGAGATAAAACAACGTGAGATGGGATGGCAAGCAGCAGGTTGGTTTGGCTGCCAGGTTGTTCCAAGGTTGATCTCTTTGATTATTGCTTAAGGCGCTCTGTGCCTCTCCAGCTGAGGGATCCCAGAGTTACACCCACCCCTTATTGTCCCCCTCACATTCTGCAGTGTAAGGTAAGGGTGGCATGGTGATGTTCTTTTCCCCTGCATCACTAACAGGTAGAACTTGTGTTTATTCCTTTTCTTTTGTGAAGAGCGAGGAGATCAAACCAGTGAATCCTAAAGAAGATCAACCCTCAACATTCATTGGAAGGACTGATGCTGAAACTGAAGCTCCAATACTTTGGCCACCTGATGCGAAGAGCCGACTCACTGGAAAAGACCCTGACGCTGGGAAAGATTGAGGGCAGGAAGAAAAGAGGGGGACAGAGGATGAGATGGTTGGATGGTGTCACTGACTCAATGGACAGATGTTTGAACAAACTCCAGGAGATAGTGAAGGACAGGAAAGCCTGGCATGCTGAGTCCATGAGGGTCGCAAAGAGTCAGACACAACTGAGCAACAGACCAAAAGTTGTGAAGAGAAGCTGGGAAAAATGCAAGCCATCCCTTCCTTGGAACTGGATTTCAGCTCTTTCTACCGCATGGGATACAGCCTTTTAGAATCTTCCAGACACGCTGGATCATTCAGTAATCTTCACCCAAAAGACCGAGAGGAGACACTGACAGGATGGGAGGTCTTATGTGCTCATTTGGGCGACAGATTTTGTGTATCCTTCCTTTGCTCACTTGCTGTGTTGTGGATAGTACCGTACTAAGGTTTTAGTTTTATTTTACTTACATATGTTGAAAATTTAGATTCAACTGGGGTTAAGTAATGGTGACTTTTCAACTTGAAGCAATGGTTTGGGAATTCCCTGGTGACCCGTGGTTAGGATTCCACGCTTTCATGGCTGTGGCTCGGGTTCAAAGCATAGTCAGGGAACTGAGATCCCATAACCCATGCCACGTGGCCAAAAAATAAAAATAATAAAAAACAACACACACACAAAGTAAAAAAACAAGCTAAGTAGTGCACAGGGAGGGAGTGTATGTGTTTGTGTGTGAAAGTGTATCGATACGTGTGTATATACCACATGTGTATATTCCTATCATGTAAATACATTAGAAAAAAAAAACAAAATGAAGCTAACCCATCAGACTTAGAATTCTGCAGTGCTCTTACTTAAAACAGGTTCAGTTCGTCTGGGAAGTTGGGCTTGAGTTGGTTTAAATAAAAGTATCAAGCAAGTCATTTTTTAAAAATAATTTTATTTATTTATTGGTTTTCTGGGTCTTCATTGCTGCGGGGCTTTTCTCTAGTTGCCGTGAGCGGGGACTACTCTCTAGTTGAGATGTGTGGGCTTCCCATTGCAGTGGCTTCTCTTGTGGGGGAGCACGGGCTGTAGAATGTGGGCTTCAATAGTCCCAGGCTCAAGAGCACAGGCTCCTGGGCTTAGCATGTGGCGTCTTCCTGGACCAGGGATCAAACTCATGTCTCCTGCATTGGTAGGCAGATGCTTTACCACTGAGCCACCAGGGAAGCCCAGGCAAGTCACGCTTTGAAGACAACATGTCTATAGTAAACTGTGTGCCCGAGGATAGCAGCATCTGGACAATGGTGCTGAGGACTCTGTGTCTTCAGGCCTGAGCTCAGGCTTACCTGCTCCCATGGTATCTGTCCATCGTGAGTGTCCATCAGCCGTCCTCAAAGGCTCAGAGACAAATCCCTGGGTGATACTGTGCAGTGATCCCTAAAGCCTCAGAGAAGTGCACGCTCTTCGTAAAGGAAGGAGCCTGGTTGAGATAAAATCACTGTTCTTTCTCCCCCAGGATTTCCAGTTCTGATCAGGGAGCCGAACTGCTCTGTGTCATCACTTAGAAGTCGCTTAGTTGCATCCAACTCTTTGCAACCCCATGGACTGTAGCCCTCCAGGCTCTGTCCACGGAATTCTCCAGGATGGAAGAATACTGGAGTGGTTGCCATTCCCTTCTCCAGGGGATCTTTCCAACGCAGGGGTCGAACCTGGGTCTTCTGCATTGCAGGCAAATTCTTTACCGTCTGAGCCACCAAACACACATCCTTTTTGTTGTTGTTGTTATTAATGTCATTGACCATCAACTACCCTGGACATCTGCACATGTGGCTTTAAAAAGCCAGGGCAGCAGCACTGCCGTTGAAGATGAGAAGGGCATCAAAATCTGACCTAAGTCCCATCTTCCTGCATGTTCTTGAGACACTTGCGGTTAGAAATTAGGAGGAAAGTGCACCTGTATTGTGGAGACTGTTTCTTTTCAATTTTAGAGAAAAGGAGAGGAAAAAAGCAATTAGCATAGTCCTTTGAAGAATTACGCAGCAGGGGTGATAGCAGCTGAGATAAAGAGTGAGGAATCATTTTATGAATTATAATTCATGCTGAGAAATTGATCGAGGGTGAATAAAGTGGTAACTTTTAAAGCAGAAAGACGATTCTCTTTGCCTATTTCAACTTAGGGATGCCTGGAGAAGTTCAGAGGGGAGGGATGAAGGAGATGAGGACTCAGACATGAGATAAAGTGCCATGCAATTCAGAACATTAGGAAGATTTAGAGGGATCCGTCAAACAAAGGCACCCAGCGGCTGTGATTCTCGGCTCTCAGGAGTGTACCTGGATTTGTGGAGAAAGATTTAGAAGCTTAATTTACATACATGAAAGTCCATTTTTAACTTCCAATGAAGAGGCTGTACCACCCAGTGTGGTATTACATCAGATATTCCCTGTATCTCACAATAAATTTATTCTAGCACTGTCCTTCCTAACAGAATTGCAGAATGAGCTTTTCAGGTCAACTAATGTTTCTTCCAACTTCTCTCTTCCCTATCTCTCCTCTAACCCCCCTTTCCAGAGTGCTAATAGCCCATTGGTCCTTTTTCTTTATTTTTCCTGACCTTACTAAGTCATTGGGAGGGGATGGCTCATAGTATTTTTTATCCTTGCCTTTAGCCAGCCTGTGCTGATTAGGAATGCTTTTGTCTATAAGTTCCCAGGTGGCTCAGTGGGTAAAGAATTCACCTGTAACACAGGAGACATGGGTTCAATCCCTGGGTCGGGAGGATCCCCTGGAGGAGGAAATGGCAACCCCCTCCAGTATTCTGGCCTTGGAGAAATCCTGGACAGAGGAGCCTGGTGGGCTGCAGTCCATGGCGTTACAAGAGTCAGACAAGACTGAGCAAATAACACTTTCACTTTCAGTACACAGTGATCACTATTATTATTACTATTATTATTTTCTTTCAGGGAGGCAAGGGCATTCCATGAGACTTCTGATCGTATCTCATTGGCCAGAGCTGAGCCTGACTTCCAGCAGATCGTTGCCCTGGAGAACCGAGGTTACCTTTGTTGGCTGATGTTTTGAGCTCCAGAAGGGAGTAATTTTCCTGAGATAAAGGACATTCACATGCTATTGGATCAAATGGAGCTCTGCTGCCAAGAAGGTGGGTAGATAAGATACCAGGAAGGCAGAAGACAGGGTCAGCCCTATACTATTTATGCCATTGAGTGTTGAAAGGACCACTATTTTAAAGACGCCAATGAGTTCATCTGCCTAAGGAGGTATCTACAGAGGTGGGAATGACAGTTTTCTTTGTATTAACTCAGACTTGCTTACTTCTTCAATTAGCATTAACCGAGCACCTACTGAGTCAAGGCTCTGTACTGGGCCCTCTGGACACGGTACTAAGCCAGGAGGGCCAGGACTCAGGCTCGTGGAGTTCACAGTGTAGCGTGGGAGACCCACCCTGAGAAGCCAGTGAACGGGTGACCTCAGAGACTGGGAAGGGCTGCCGGAAGCAGCCAAGGGTGGAAGGGGAGAGACTCACAGCTGTGGAGGCGAAGTGTCTGGTTCCCACTGAGCGGGGAAGTGGGGGAGGAGAGGCACGAAAGGATCTGATGTATTTGAACAGAGACCACAGTGATGACTAGAGATCGTATGAAATCAATGACCACCATTGAATTTTGAGAGAACGAGCAGGTTTTCCTGTTTGTTAGGTATAAGGTATGCATCTCAGTTTCTCTGTCTACAAAAGTGGATCCAAATGATGGGTTACCGCCACAGAGGGTCACCCCACACCAGTCTCCACTTGGCTAACTTCACCCCTCTGTACAAGCATCAACCATGTTTCTATAAGATCCAGGCAAGGTAAGAGCTGGGGCTGGGGGAGTGTGGAAAGGATGAGGCCACTAATATTAATAAACTGCCCTCATCAGAGTGGCCTGCAGGGCACGGGGGACCTGTGGGTACTGGGTTCTAGGATGCCCTGAGTCTGCAGGTGACTGGTTCCAGCTGTGACCCAGTCAGTCCAACCATCCTCCTTCCTCTTCAGGGTGTGTCTTACTAACCCATCTTCCAGGGTCTGTCTCCTCTCTAGACATAGCATCAAGGGCTGTCACAGGATGTGGGGACCCACTAGGTGACCTTAGGGGTTATCTCTGATCACTCCTTTTAGTCTGCTCTGCCGTCTCTAATAGGAGTCAGCCCTGTTCCCTCTTCCGTTCAAGAGAGGTGACAAGTGAATGGAGAGTTGAAACATACGTCTGAAATCTGTGAAGCTGACAGACAGAACCAGAAACTATGCTGAGGTGAAACTGACAATCAGATAAAGAACGTGGTTTATTGTTTTCCAGAGGGATGAAATCAACTGGGTGAAGACTGGCATAGGGTGGCCCTCTGTGACCAGATTTCTTTGGCAGAGAAGGTAATCCATCATTTTGGATTTGCTTTTATAGACAGAAAGACTGGGATATATACATGATACCTAAGAAACAGGAAAGCCTGCTCATCCTCCCATAATTCAGATGGCAGCCATTGATTTAATACAATCTCTAGGGAACTGACTGGCATGTTGAGGTTTTGTGGTTTTTTTTCAAACAGAGATTAGTAGTTAGAACGACCACCATTTCAAGGATGCACCTCAAGAGAGCAGGAGTAATGAAGACCTGGGATGCTGAGGGTGACTGAACCCCAGGAAGGCCTCTATAAACTCTCAAATGCCACAGGCTGGCAGAGGGGAGGTGAAGACCTGGTTCCTGGGCACCAAAGACCAGCCCTGGAGGAAGTTACCTGCTAGTTAAACCACCACCTGTCCATCTGGAGTGGCTACCTCTTCCATCAGTCTTTCCCTGCCCTCTGGGTATGGATGGATTCCACCTGGAAAGCTCCTGAATCCACAGTGGGTGACACATGTCATAAGGAAAACAATACCAGGTAATGGGATCAGAGGCTGGAGTGGGTGGAGCTCCCTTAGAGAAAGGGGCTGCTCAGGGAGACCCTGCCAGGAGGGGTGTCTGAATCCCACAGCGGAGAAGGGGCCAAGTTGGCCAAGATTGGATGGGGGGCCAGAGGGGGGCAGTTCCAGGCAGGGGAACAGCAAACGCAACAGCTCAGAGGAGGGCGGTGTTTTGTGTGTTTAAATGATTTCTATAGATTTTCACATTTAATCATCACAGTAACATAACAGAAGAGCTGAAATTAGTCCCCATAAGAAAATCAATAACAACTTTCAGGAAATCACTTAGTGAAAGATCGAGGCCACGGGTGTGGGTCTCAGAATCTGTTCCCTGCTGCGTACTGAACTGCAGGTGGAGGTGTGCTGGCTGCGGCTCATATAATTTCAAACTTCACGCATGACCGTGGCCGAGCCAGCTGACCTCCCCGTCTCAGTTGCAGGTCTCTTATGTGCAGTAATCTCTCCCCTTCTCACTTCCCAGGGTGGTTGTGAGAATTGCAGGTGCAAAGGGGGTCTCAGAATCAGGACACGGTGTGGGAAGGAAGGTGCAGTGACTCTCACAGACACATGCCAGGCTTCCTTGGGTCAAAAAACTAATCGTGGGACTGCCGGGGTGGTCCAGTGGTTAAGAATCCACCTGCCAAGGCAGGAGACACAGCTTTGATCTCTGGTCTGGGAAGATCCCACAGTGCCTCGGGGCAACTAAGCCCCCGGGCCACAACAGTTGAGCCTGTGCTCAACAAGAGAAGCCCCCACTAGGGAAAGTCAGCATGCAGCAATGAAGACCCAGGGCACCCAAATGTATATAAATAATTCATTAATCACAGCAGTTGTGTGTGATGGACTGGGTCTACCATCCTGCATATGCTGTTAGGTTATTGCTCGAAGTAAAGATTCCATTTGACAATGAAGCAGCAAGGGAGGAAGGAGCAGTGGGATGAATTGGGAGACTGGAGCTGACATATATGCATAAAATAGATAACTAATGAGAACTTACTGTATAGCTCATGGCACTCTACTCAATGCAATGTCCTGTGGTGACCTAAATGGGAAGGAAATTAAAAAAGGAAGGGATATATATATATGTATATATGCTTCCGAGGTGTCTCAGTGATAATGAATCTGTCTGCCAATGCAGGAAATGCAAGAGACACAGGTTCGATCCTTGGGTCAGGAAGATCCCCTGGAAGAGGAAATGGCAACCCACTCCAGTATTCTTGCCTGGAAAATTCCATGGACNTGGGACAGCCTGGCCTCTGAGCCCCAGTCAGCAGAGCTGGATGCACAGGGCGGGCGCTCCTCCGCCCTGAGCTCCCCACTGCGGTTGCTCTGTGGTTTGCCAAGTGCGGCCCCGTCCTCGCAGACAGAGCAGTTGCTCAGGAGCACTGAGGAAGCCCCCCACAGTGGCCCCTTGGCCGGGCAACGGCACGCCTGCTGGTGCTGGGGAGCTCTGACTGCAGCGGCAGGAAGGCCTGTGGTCGCTGCTGCCAAGCGTAGGGCCCCAGAACGGTGCACGGAGGGCAGAGGTCCCCAGGGGCAGAGGGAGGCGGTGGGTGAGCCAGAACTGGCAGGGGACCGTGGGGTGGGGAGGGGTGTGTGCCCCAGAGGCCCGGTTCTGCTCTGGTGCACCTGCTTTCAAGCTGGAAGCTCCTGGCAAGGCGGCGAGGCTGAGTCCCAGTCTCCTCTCTTTTGACCTGGGAAGTTGGTTAGCATTAGTCCCTCAGCCATGTCTGACTCTGCGACCCCATGGACTGTAGCCCGCCAGGTTCCTCTGTCCATGGGATTCTCCAGGCAAGAATACTGGAGTGGGCTGCCATTTCCTCTTCCAGGGGATCTTCCCAACCCAGGGATTGAACCATGTCTTTTGTGTTTCCTGCATTGGTAGGCAGAGTCTTAACCACTGCGCCACTTGGGAGATGGGGTCAAAAAAAAGAAAAAAGAAATTAGATCAACTGGCATTAGCAAGCCCCCTGAACACTGAACAATATAAATTCCCTGGTTCAGGAACTGTCTCTATCCCCCACCATTCTCCATCCATTTTCCTGATAAAGAAAACTGCTCCTTAAATTGATCTATTAAGTAGAAGCATGGATTTTTTTTTTCCTGTCTCATAATAGGATCAGCTCAAATCAAACATCCAAAACCGGTACCCCAGGGGCCTGTCTTCCAAATTGGATTTAGAGGAGTTCATTTCCAGGATCAGAAACTGAAGGAAACGGCTAAGCTGCTTGCGGTTTCCCGCTCTCACACAACCATAAATTTTCTCACTTTCCATCTCTGGAAGAGGTGGGCAGGGGCACCGTCCCCCCATCAACTCTAGTAATAGACGATCCCTGAGTGGCCTGGGCAGGATGTCATAAAAGCACAGTCTCAAATCTGTGACCCCTTTAGACCCAGGGGCTCATTTTAGAGAACAATATGTTGACAGCATTGGAGAGGAGAGAGGAATATGGCTTCCTCGATGGCTAAATGGGTAACAAATCCATCTGTAATGCAGAAGACACAAGAGACCCAGGTCCAATCCCTGGGTCAGGAATGTTCCCTGGAGGAGAAAATAGCAACCCACTCCAGTATTCTTGCCTGGAGAATCCCATGGACAGAGAAGCGTGGCGGGCTACAGTCCATGGGGTCGAAAAAGAGTCAGACACGACTAAGCATGCATGCGTGTATATATACTTTCAGATTCTTTTCCATTATAGGTTATTACAAGATATTGAGTGTAGTTCCCTGTGCTATATAGTAGGTCCTTGTTGATTATCTATCTTATATACACTAGTGTGTATTTGTTAATCCCAAATTCCTAATTTAAATTTAGAGTTTGTGATTGTTTTTCAGTTTAATAGATGTTCAGACAAATGGGATACCAGATAGCTTCCCCAAACTCCTGAGGTATTTGTCAGAGGACAAGAAAGATTTTCTCTGTGTGAAGGTGAAGGCCGTCCGATTTTGTGTTTTCTTAACAAGGTAAATGCCAGGGACGATTCGTTTCTGTCTCATTTCATGCAGCCTTGAGAAATGAGCCCACTTGCGTGCTCTGAGACGTTGGCAAAGAAACGATGGAGTTGGCTTTGCTCTAACACTAGAAATCAGAAATAGCGTTGTCGTTGGCGGGTCCATCCATATGTATTTGTGCCCTGAAGTGTGACTCGGAAGAGCTGGCGCGGCAATCCAGAATTGCTTTGGATGATCATAATGTAGCAAATCATCTAATTTATAGATTAAGCTGATTCAGTCAACATATCTCCTTGCCCTTTCATCTAAAGAAAATAAAGGGCTGAATGATTGTCACATAGGGACAGAGTCACACAGTCCAGTGTCTAAATGTCTAGCGCCTAAAATAGAAAGTTGACTGGACCGGGCACCCTTCTGAGAGCATCTGCTTCCAGTGGGTGGCAGTCAGTAAAACAGGAGATAGAATTTTCATAGAAATTTGGCTTATTGCTACCTTCTTTTAGCTTTATTTGAAAGATAACAATTCTAAGGGCTTTGGAGGAAAAAAAAAATCACTTTCCGTAAGATTTGCCCATAATGACACGACCTTCTTTCCGGTATGCAGAGCTATTTTAAAGAATATCTTAGCCAGACCAACTCTCCTGAGATGTGTCTGCTTCTAGGTGGGACATGGGGAGAGGGAAGGGGGCTTTGACAGGGTTAAAGGGGAGGGGGGGTAAACATTCAGACCTTCTCTGGCCAAGAAATCGCCACCACCTTCTTCCAAATACCCGTGTCACCTGCATATGATCAACCCCACTCACCTCACCCTCCCAGAGTTCACTTTTTTTTTAATTTATTTTTTATTTTATATTGGGATATACTTGATTTACAGTTGTTTTAGTTTCAGGTATACAGCGAAGTGGTTCAGTTATACGTATATATCTACCCATTCTTTCGCAAATTCTTTTCCCATGTAGGTTATTACAGAATATTAAGTCGAGTTCCCTGAGCTATATGTAGGTCTTTGTTGTAGAATTCTCTTTTATTATTGTGTTTTTGTTCAGTCACCCAGTTGTGTCTGACTCCTTGCAACCTCATGGACTGCAGCACACCAGGCTTCCCTGTCCTTCACCATCTCCTAGAGCTTGCTCAAACTCATGTCCATTGAGTCTGTGATGCCATCCAACTATCTCGTCCTCTGTCATCCCCTTCTCCTCTGGCCCTCAATCTTCCCCAGTATCAGGGTATTTTCTAATGAGTCCACTCTTCACATCAGGTGGCCAAATATGGGAGCTTCAGCTTTGACATCAGTGCTTCCAATGAATATTCAGGATTGGTTTCCTTTAGGATTCGACTGGTTTGTTCTCCTTGCAGTCCAAGGGATTTTCTTTGGCGCTCAGCCTTTTTTATGGTCCAACTCTCACATCAGTATGTGGTTACTGGAAAAAGCATTGTATACAGTTACTCAAGTACCATCTGTGCTTTGGGCCCTCTCCTTGATTTTAGGTATAAGGCATACAAAAAGTACCCATCACTTACCTTCAAGATTTTTACAGTAAAGCTGAGAGATATTAGCTGGCCATGTTCCTGTATGCTAAGAGGAAATATTTTACAAGTGATATGGTTACATATTTAGACAAAGAGCTAATTTTCCCAAGAGGAAAATGTTTCATCAGGGAAGGCTTTCAAGTAAAGATAACATTGAAATGGGTTTTTGAAGGATGGGTAGGAGTTTGCTAGGGAGAACAATGACCTGTGAGTAATAAAACAATAGTTACTCTTAATTGAGCAACAACTATGTGCCACANTTTCCCAAGAGGAAAATGTTTCATCAGGGAAGGCTTTCAAGTAAAGATAACATTGAAATGGGGTTTTGAAGGATGGGTAGGAGTTTGCTAGGGAGAACAATGACCTGTGAGTAATAAAACAATAGTTACTCTTAATTGAGCAACAACTATGTGCCACATATACCTTTACATGTTCAAAATGGCTTATTACTATTAATCATGGCAACAGTATGAATTATAGAAAGCCTTATACCCAT